CTCCCGCCGCCGCCGACGACTTACAGGGGTATGGCGATTCGGCGGCGGCGGGGGATGGCCTCGGCGAGGCTCTGATTAAATCGATTAAGGTTTACAAGTACAAGAAGAGCGATGGATTCGTCGATTGTTCGGATTGTTCTGTTTGCCTGAGCGAATTCCAAGAGAATGAGAGTTTGCGGTTGCTGCCGAAATGCAACCACGCCTTTCACGTTCCTTGTATCGACACCTGGTTGAAATCTCACTCCAACTGCCCTCTCTGCCGCGCCAATCTCACCACCGGTAACGCCACTACCGCCGCCGCCGGTGTCGCAATCGCCAACCACCCGACCGCCACGGAATCCGTCATCCGCGGCGGAGGAAGTGCCGAGATCAGCTCTTCTACGATCAATCATCATCACCACAGTAGCGATTCTGTGGTGGTTATCGAAGATCTGGAATCCGGAGCTGGGAACGAGCGGATTGTTAACAGTGATAACATCGGATCGCCGCCGAAACCGCCAGAGAGGGAGCTGCGGGGTGGCGTTGGAACAGGAGTAGACGCAGAAACGCAACCGATCCGGAGATCCGTTTCACTCAACTCCGGCGGTGTGGTCTCGATCGCCGATATACTGCGGGAGATTGAGGATGAGGAAGACGACGAAGAATCCGGAGGCATCGGAACTTCACGGCGGAGAGAGGAGGAGGAAGAAGACGGCGCCGGGAAGGCGGCGAATCAGAGAAACGGAGTTCCGAATTTTCTGGTGCGGAGTTCGATGACGATGAAGAGATCCGTTTCTACGGGGAGATTTACCCTCACGAGGTACGATCGATCAAGAAATTACCGTTTACCCAATTAAGCGGTAAAGTTAAAATGGGAAAAATATTTTTTCCCAGTGAGATGTAAAAATAAAAAATAAAAAAAAAAGAAGAAAAATAATTGGTTCGATTTCGATATATTCATTTCCAATTTCATATGATAGGGTTATTATTTTTGTAAAAAATGTTCAAACGGATATCAGTTGCATGAAGTTCCAGAAAATAATTGTGACTAATCAGAAATTACGAGATTTGTGTTATGTTTTAATACAACAATAGAATTAATTAAAATTTTATAAGTTACTGTTACCTCTTGTATTTTTTCTACGTAAGATCTAGAATATGTTTTTTTTTTTATAAATATAGTAATGAAGTATGGGATAGACAGACAATAATGGAATAATTATCTAATTTAGACATCTAACCATATTTTTATTTTATATATTTCAAAATTATAAATTTTTAGTTTTTGGTAGACCCTGCTATGACGCTGACATGATAACTATACGATATCATAATATAAACCGTATATACACACACACACACAGAAATGAGTGTATGGAACATGAGTGTATGGTAGACCTTGTTACATGCAATTGTGCATTACTACCGGAGATTACGAAATATAAATACGTATTTGTAAGCATTTAAAATGTATATAATTTCAATTTTCCATTTATTAAAAAAAACAACAAGTGACAGAATAAGCTTTTGTTGATTTTAGTTATATCTGTGTCCCCCCAAAGGTAAATGCGGTGTTCTGTCGCCAGATGTAAAGACTTTTTCGCCAGCTTCTCAGACAATATTTTACAAAGGAAAAAAAAAATATCAACAAAGAACATTTTAAAATTAATGAAAAAAAAATAAAAAGATAAATAAATATATAATTATAATGTTAAAGAAGACAAAAAGAAAAATTATTTTGTTTCTTTGATACCTTCAGGGCCCACAAATATTCTATTGGGCTTCACCGTTAATTATAAAATGGGCCAACCGTAAAGCCCAACTACGATCCACAGAGCTCATTTGTCTTTTGTATTGTCCATTTTTTGTTTAAAAAAATACAGTGGACCACGAAACGACGTCGTATTATAATGGACACCTTTTTTTGTGACACGTCATACTAAGTTTGGTCGTGCAAGTTATTCAGTTTTCATTGAAACAATCGAAGTCTTATAAATTTTATTTTCTTAAAATAAAAATTTCCAAATCTAAGTCTGTTTCATATAAAATGTAAATTACTTGGGTATATATTAATCACAACCAAAGTTCTTATCCCTTCACGTGGAAGACATGCAATTGAAAAAGTTATTTGAATTTACAAAGAATGATTCGACCAATTCTCGAATAGTCTTGTTTGTTTTAAAATTCTAAAAGAATTAATTGTTATATGCCTATTTATTATACAACGTAGACACATTAACAAACTATATATATATATATATATATATATGCAAACTGATAGTTGGATTTGAATCGGTCTCGTTTATAATGGTGTGCCGAAAGGCCGATCGAGAATGCAGTATTGGTGGTATATATTATCGTTGACTTTTGAAAAAAAACTCTGGTTGAGTTTATATACTAGTATTAGTTATATATTCATACGTTATAAGAAAAAAAAAAGACAAATATTTAGGAAATCGCACATTATATTTTTTTTTTACGAATTTATAAAAAACTTTAAAAAAACGATTTGTCGTTGTAAATGCACATAACCAAAATATTTAAATATTTTTTTCCCCATGGATAGGCATATTCTAATATTCCTCGGTATAACGTGTCTTCTTCGGTTTTTCTCCAAATATTTTTATGATTGTTCTCTTATTCTTTTAAGGTTGGTCGGAAAATTATAGTATCTAGTTGCTTAGAATACCATCTTTGGTGCTAATTAGACATTTTCCTACAAAAGTAAATATTATATATTGTAAGATTGAGATTGTCACCGGTTACCACCGGTTTAGAATTTGATTTTATTTCGATTGGATTCGATCTTGTTTTAATTTGAAAAATCCTATCATTTTTCCCTATTTTTAATATTTCTCAAAAATCAAAATACAAAGTGTGACAAAATTAAGTAGCAAGAGAAGATGTAACTTCTTGGAGTTGCCCTCGATAGCAACTTTGACGTTAATCTTGAAATTGCCCAAACTTATAACCAAAGTCAAGATATGTGGTTTCGAACCTCCCCCTTGTCGTATTACTACACTTTAACCAGACGTGCCTACGTGTGTCATCTTGCCTTAACTTCTTCACCCAAAACTCTCCCTTATCTCCATATGTGTGTATATATATATATATACGTACATATACATGCACACGTATGTAAACATATATAGATATAAGTCCCAAGAAAAACGCATTGGTTTTCTCAAACGTTACACATAAGTTTACAACACCCAAAAGAAGAAAATTATGACGGCCGAGACGAGCGGTCCGGTTTCATCATCAAGGCCGTGTCCGATCAAAACCGTCGTCGTTTTGGTCCAGGAAAACCGGTCATTCGACCACATGCTCGGGTGGTTCAAAGATCTCAACCCCGACATCGACGGCGTCGAAAGATCGAACCCGAAAACGAATCCAAAATCAGGTTCCGACCCGAATTCTCCGGTTATCGAGTTCGGTGATCGTTCTCAGTATGTAGACCCGGATCCAGGTCACTCGATTCAAGACATATACGAGCAAGTTTTTGGGAAGCCTTGGGATCCGAACCACCCGGACCCGAACCCTGGTCCACCCACTATGTCCGGGTTCGCTCAAAACGCCGAGAGAAACAAAACGGGCATGTCCTCGGCGGTCATGAACGGGTTTAAACCGGACGCTTTGCCGGTTTACAAGGAATTGGTTACTAACTTCGCCATTTGTGACCGGTACGATAAACCAAATCTGAAATTCGGTTAGTCAACGTCCGGCTCTTGATTAATTTATTTTTTATATATATTTTTTCTCCGGCAGGTGGTTTGCGGCGGTTCCGGCCTCGACGCAGCCAAACAGGCTGTTCGTGCACTCGGCAACGTCGCACGGAGCGACGAGCAACGACAAGAAGTTGTTGGCCGAAGGGTTTCCACAGAAGACGATATTCGAGTCGCTCGACGAAGCTGGATTTAGCTTCGGCATCTATTACCAATTCCCTCCCTCTACTCTTTTCTACAGGTATTTTTATTTATTTATTTTTATTATCAATTCTTTGCATCTCGTATATTTGAGTAATTGGTACATAATTAAGGGAATACCATATGACAGATACAACTAAAAAATAATGGATAACTGAAATGAATTACAAGTAGTGCCAAATAAAATGAATTACAATGATATAATCTGTTGTCAAATAATTATAAAATAGTTTGTGAAATTACTTTTCTTAGCACATGATCCTACCAAGTCGTGACCCATAAGAAGAAGCTATTACCAAGTCTTGAATCACGACATGGAAGTTGGTACAAAATCTTCGTTAGTTTGCCAATTACATACATACATACGTACATACATACATACATACACACACACATATACATACACACATACATACATATATCTCTACGTCATATAATTATCTTTTAATGCCTATATATATATATATATGATCAGGAACCTGAGAAATCCAAAGTATTTGACACACTTTCACGAGTACGGGATTCACTTCAAGAACGACTGCGAGAAGGGGAAGCTGCCAAACTACGTGGTGATAGAACAGAGGTGGTTCGATCTGTTGTCGATTCCGGGGAACGACGACCATCCATCGCACGACGTGTCGGAAGGACAGAAGCTGGTCAAAGAAGTGTACGAGGCCTTGAGATCGAGCCCTCAGTGGAACGAGATTCTGTTCGTCGTAACCTACGACGAGCATGGCGGATTCTACGACCATGTTCCGACACCGGTGCACGGAGTTCCCAGCCCCGATGGCATTCCCGGCCCCGAACCGTACCGTTTCGAGTTCAACCGGCTCGGTGTTAGGGTTCCTACGTTCTTCATCTCTCCTTGGGTTGAACGAGGAACAAGTAACTTATTTGCTGTTCCTTAGTATCACTATACGTTTTTTTTTTAAATCTTTATGATAAATTATATATTTTATATAAATGCATTATGCATGGGATGGTAAATGATACGGATGTGGTGATGTGTAGTGGTGCATGGACCGAATGGGCCGTATCCAACGTCACAGTACGAGCATTCATCAATTCCCGCAACGGTCAAGAAAATATTCAACTTGAAAGATTTTCTGACGAAGAGAGACGAGTGGGCCGCCACTTTTGATTCCGTTCTTACCAGACCCACGCCCAGGCTCGATTGCCCCGGTGCGTATTTTTTATTTATTTATTTTCTATTTTCATCGTACAAAATTTGTTATATATACAAAATTAGGTTAAATAAAATATTATTTATTTATTTATTTTTGACGGTAGAAAAATTGCCGACGCCGGTGAAATTGAGAGCAACGGTGGCAAAGGAAGATGCAGAACTGAGTGAATTCCAGCAGGAGCTCGTGATAATGGCCGCAGGGCTCAACGGAGATTACAAGGACGAAGATTTGATGCACAAACTCTGCTGCGAAACTTGCGTTTTGGACGCTGCGAAATACGTTGAAACCGCGTTTGAGGAGTTCCTTAAAGACAGCAGACAGGCAAGGGGAGGTCGTGACGAGAACGACGTCGTTTCTGTCCCTGATCAAGAAGCTGCGACGCAACCACAGGACGCTGCCGCCGCGGCTGCGACTAGAACGCAAACGTCCTTTCTCCGTAAGTTGTTCTCTTGTATTGTTTGTGATCATTGAAGAACTCGTAACAAAAAACAAGAAAGAGAAAAAGAGTGGTATCAGCCCATGCTCCCAATTTCTATGTTGGCTGAGAAAATGTTGAATGTTTGTTTTATTTTGAATTAATAAACCATTTGCGTTTTGAAATTTTATGATTGTGCAGTTTATATATCATTTAGTTTATGTCTGCAACCAATATTATATATACATATATATATAGAAAATCTTAACATTCTCTTACAAACTTAAACATCTATCTTTATAAAATCATTTATATTTAAAATTCATATTTAACTTTTAAAATTTAAAATATATATTAATGATAATAAATTAATATTTTAAATGTTTATTGTTAAATTGAATTAATGATTTTTTTTATGTTTTTTAAAATTAAAAGTTTTTTAGGTTCATAGATTATTGAGATTTTTAATGGATATTTTAAAAAAAATAAAATTTAAGATGGAAGTTTATTATAAAGCTTTTTTTGAATCCTTTTGGATCTTTTCATAAAAAGTGGCTCACATGTAATCGAATCGTGTATATTTATAACCCTTTGCTTGATGGCACGTCAAGTATGCATATGCACTCAAAGATAATGTATGTCTCATATACATACATTTACGTAACATGTCGCCCACTATTATATTTATACGAACTAATTAATTATTGGACCGTTATTAGAATACAGATATCTTCGTTTGATTCATGAAAAAGGCGAAATTTTGTAATTTAAATTGATCATTATTCAGGCGTTTTTAAAAATTAATTAATTTCTATTTATAGTAAGTGTAGTGATGAAAAAGATGATGTTATTTCAAGTAACAGTTATCATCATTAAGTCACCCTTTTCCAATTTTAGTCTGATATTGTAAATATTTTAAATAAATATTTTATAAAATTTTCCCAATGTTACAAAATGAGTATCCAGACACCCATACATACATATACATATACATATATACACACACACACATATATATTATAATTGTAAATAAATAAAATAGAAAGAAATAACGAAGAAAGAAAGAAACTACCTACCGCTTTAGATGTTTTCAGTTTTCTATCCCGCGTCTCTCTTGGAATCTCTGTGGGCAATTTTCCCGAGAAACAAACAGAAGAGGAAGGAAAATCGCCCTACAAAAAGAAAAAAAAAAAGCAAAAAGAAAATGATAGAAAACTGATCAAAGCTCACGGAATTTGTGAACTTTTCGCCCAATTTCTCCGCCAGTGCTCGAAATCGAATGGATCAAAGAAAGAGTGATTGGAGAATCTACATCGTCACGGCTCTGTTTCTGTCATGCATCATCTCCGGTGGAATGTTTCTCGGCCTCTACCTTTTTCTCCCGAATCCGAGCCCTTTGTTTCTTCAAGCGGGGATGATCTTCGTCGGATTTCCATGGCTCTTCTGGTTCATGGGCTATCTCTACACGTGCGTAATCAGGCCCTGTACGGACCAGATTCCGCGGGAGCAGGGCAAGAGCGTTACCAATGTCGATCCGGAGAAGGGCAACAACAACAACGACAACAAGAACAGCAACACGACGGTGTCGGAAAACACCACGTCAGAGGCGGCGGATGGCGAGGAGAGGCACGTGCAGTTCGGGAACGTGACGGTGATTGGGAGTGGCGATGGGATTGATCAAGCTAAAAGACAAGAACATGTCGGGGAAGAAGAAGAAGAAGAAAATGGCAGAGTGATTGTGAGAGGAGGTGATGGAGGAGATCATGATAGTAATGTTGATGATCGAGACGAAAAGGGGTCTGATTTTTCTGGGGATTGCGATAAAACGCCATTGAGATTATCGGTTACGAATGCATCATATCGGGATTAGGACCGTTGTTCGAACAGATTGATTGGTTAGGGTTTACTTAACATTGCTTTTTTCATGAATCTGCATGAATATATATATATACACACACACACACATCGATCTGGTTTTGTTGTTTGGGAAGAAAGGCTTTGTTGTTGTTTTCTTGTTCTTTGGTTCAATGAACTGCAATGGAAAGAATGTCTTGAAACAGAGAAGGAACTGGAAAGAAAAAGGACAGAGGAACATCAGAACAGAACTGAACTGAACTGAGGAATCCATGAACGAAACGAGTCTGGTAATGTTAGGGTTTTATTTGTGATGAATCTTCATCTTCTTCGTCTTCTTCTTCATGACATGACAAGTGCATGCATCGACTGAGGTCATGCAACCGAACTTCCTCTTCACCTCGCTCCAAACACTCGTCTTCTTCGATTTCTTCTTCCCACAATGGACAACACATTCTCCGCCCATCTCCTCCTTGGGGTAATCACATTCCTTCTCGAGGATCATCAGCTTATTGCTCATCTCATCATCATCACCATCGCCATGATCATCATCGATATCCCCAGAAAACCCTATTTCTTCTTCTTCTTCTTCTTCCTCTTCGTACATCTCCTTTGATTTCTGTTCAACACCCTTCATTTCTCTATCCACAGTGTGCCGAATCTGCAGCTGAGTGGCGAACAAGACCTGAACGACGATCCTCAATGGAAGCTTCTCATTCTTGGAGGCGTGTTCGCATGCCTCTGGCGATAACTTCTCGCAATCAAGTACTCTGCAGGCCTCGAGCCTCTCGGATTCTGTCAAGTGCTTGTGGCTCTCCAAGAAAATGTCGATGGCTCGGTATATTCCATCAGAGTATCTCAGTACGCTAAATGACGCAGCCTCTGATAGTTCTGCCAGTGACACGAACGTCGCAACTCTCAGACATTCATCGCTAGCCGCCTCCGCCAGGAACTCTTCCACCAGTTTCGCCACTCTGACAAAACCCGATGACCCGTCCAAAGCATCGTAGCTACTGTAAAAGTTCTTCAGAATTCTTCTCGTCAGCTCGACATCATACTCAGCCTCTTCCGGGTATCCACGCGACAGAATCAGAAGGTCTTTGGCTGCAGCCATGTCGAGCTGTTTTCCGACCAGAACCTCGAACACGTTTCGACAACTCGAGCTTGCTTCAAGCAAGATCGAACG